CCCCAAAACCCCAAAACCCCAAAACCCCAAAACCCCGCTAATTATATTTTAGATGAATTTAGAGACAGTAATTATTCAATAATATAATGAGAGAAATAAAGTGCAAACGTTAAAATGTAATGAAGTATTTGGAAGCATAGACAGTCATTCTTTAGTATAGCTCACTTTCTAAATATAGGAGAATCCATAATAACATTTAAAGGCAATTAATGATTAAGAGTATTAAAAAATCAGAATTATAATTATACAAGAAAATGTTTGGATCATTAAAAAGAATAGCAAGTCATGCTGGAAGTTGGTACCCATCTGATAAAAAAAAGCTTGATTAGTAGCTCTCCCAATATCTCGAAAAGGCAAGACATGATATAAGTCAGAGAGAGGAATCAAAAGGGAAGATTAGAGCTATTATAGCACCTCATGCAGGTTATGATTATAGTGGTCAGGTTGCAGCATATGCTTACTGCTAATTAGATCCTGATCAGTATAAAAGAGTTATTGTTTTAGGTCCATCTCATCATGTTTATTTGGATTCTTGCGCTCTAACACTTTGTTCAAAGTATCAGACCCCTCTAGGAGATCTAACAATTGACAGTGAAACAAATGCAGCATTGCTGAAGGAAGGAGTTTTTAAGTAAATGCCAAAGTAGGTTGATGAAGAAGAGCATTCCATTGAAATGCATCTGCCCTACCTCAAGAAAGTTTTTGGAGATAAAGTCAAGATTGTTCCTATTCTTGTTGGTAATCTCACCAAAGACAGAGAGCAATAGTTTGGTAAAATCCTAGCGAAGCACTTGGATAATGGTGAGGAAAATCTCTTTGTAATTTCATCAGATTTCTGCCACTGGGGTCATAGCTTTGATTATATGTACCTTGTTGAAAAAATAGATAAAGATAAAAATACTATTTCAAAGTAAATTGAGAGATTAGATAAGCAAGGAATAAGCCATATCGTCGAGTAAGATGCTGATAAATTCTAAGAATACCTTGAAATTACTGATAATACCATTTGCGGTAGACATCCTATTTCTGTACTTTTGGAATGCCTCAAAGAGTTAGATGCAAAGAAATTCAAAACTGAGCTTGCTTAGTATGGATAAAGTGGAGAACTAATTGATGATAAAAATGACACTTCAGTATCTTATGCAAGTATTGTAACCAGAGAGAATATAGTTTGATAAGTAATAGAATATAAAACTTTTATGTCAAGTTAAAATTATTAAAAGAACTTATACAAACCAATAGTTAATTTAGATTATTAAACACCTTATTTCAATCTCAGTGCATATGTCTCACATTTTGCATAGATGAGTTTTGAGATGATTTTAATGATGAAGTTACACTAGACATCACTCTGTTACCCATTGAGAGAAAGGTTTATAGTTGCTCATTTCCATTTCTGCTTCTACCAGTCAAGCTATTTTAAGATGCTCTCTGACTTTAAGTTCCAAATCCAGATATTTGCTTGTTTGATGTAGTAGATGGTGGTTCTTATTGAGATACCCTTCTCTCAAACATATTACTTCCAGAATTATTTTTCATTCCCATAGTATTTGCAGTAGAGCCGAAAGAATTATATTAATTAAGATTCAGATTATTATTTTGAGTTGCAATTGGAGCTCTAAATGTAAGTGGCTAGTATCCTCCGTTGCTTCCACTTTTTCTGATATTTCCATTAGATTTCTCAGCCAATGATGTTTAAGATTACTGATGAGGTAGTTGCTTCATTGTGGTTGGAACACTCTACTTTCTTTCTTACATTTTAGCAAATCCACTGCTATTATTGCTATTACAGCCTCCATCTTTTGAAGGGTTTCTTGCACTCTCTCCTAGATACTACTGCCCTTTTGTCTATTTTTGCTTATTGTTCAAAAGAACTTGACTGTTTGTGATATTTTTGTTTTATGCTAAGATAGAATTATTGCCTTACACAAACGACTTGAATATAAAAGGCTCCTGGGTCGCTGAGAAATTATTAGTTGATTATCTAGTTGCTTGTGTCTAATACATCTGCATTTCATAGGACTAAGTAGCTGGATTAGATTTTTAATTAAAGAAACCTTGGACCTTTTGATTCCTAGTTGATTGGTGTCCTGAAATAATTTTAGACTAGAAATCATCACTTGAAGAGGTTTCGATATGATTGTACCTTGGGGAAACCTTAACAATATTTCTGAGCTTGAGAACATTAGCTGAAATAATATCTTATGCAGTATATTAAGGTTTCGATGGATGGGAAGTATTATCTCTTTAAGTCATTGCAAACTAATGCTGCTGCATTTTTTAAAGTCTATTGTGAGTTATCTACAATAATTCCTATTAAGATAAGGTCATGTTGAATTTTTCCTCTTATAACTCTTGCTAAAGAATCCTAGAATCTGGTAATGCCATATTTATATGGTTTGTGAATTCTGCTGGTTTTTCTTCTCCAACCTCAAGTTCTTCGTCAGAATTTTGATGCAAATTATCGCCGCTATCATCTAAATGCTCATCTTCTTCTTCTTAGGTTAAATTAAAATTGATTGTTTGCTCTCCTCCACTCACCATAAATGTGCTTCTTTGCTAATTAGTTGGGAGCTTATTTGTTTTCTTAGCTAGATCATACCCAAAGCTTAGCTTTTTGCAGATAGTATTATTGTTAGATATAATTATACTAGGCTAAGCAGATTCTGAGATCAAGACATTTTTAGCTTATAAATTCTCTGAAATAATTTTATACTTGCTATGAGAGGATAACTAAAAGTCATATGGTCTGCTCTCTCTTCCATTTTCAATCACTATTTAATTTTCTTCTAATTCATCTTCCTCATCATAGTCATTATCATTATCCTCGGGGAGTTTATCTTGCTAAGTTTCCATGCCATAGTAATTGAGTTGACTTGCATTTGTTGTGATATTCTAATGATTGATAATAGAAACATCGTGAATTACTCTAGGACTTAAAGCCATTTCTATTGGCTCAGCATATTAATTATTTGAGTAGATGCTTTCTTCTCTATTAAAAATTGATTTATTGTTCAACAACATTTAATAATCAGCCTCAGGAGTGAGCTCAAGCATTTAGTAATTTTATGCCATCTCATTGAATAAATCTCTATTAAGCTGACTTGGCACAAAAGATTCATCGTTAAATTTAGGTGAAATATGGAACACTTTTTTGCTTCCATGATGACGATTTTAGCTCAGATTTTCTTTGAATACTTCATAGGCATTTTAAATAGGAATCTCTGTTCCTCTCATATCATGAGTTCTCATTTAGAAATTGTTTCTCATTTGAATGAAATCCTGAGAAATATCCTAAGTTTGGGAAAAATTTGATTAGTTTACATTCTTAGACATCTCTATAATGCTATTTTTAGTATTATCTGTTTCAATATTATTTGCACTCTGAATTCTGCCGAGATGAATTTCTTTTTCCTCTTGCTCATATTCATCAAACATATCATGCCTCTGTTGAACTTCTAAGGAATATTCCTATTCCAAGATTGAACTAATTTGATACCTTTAATCGCTCTTCTTTCTACTGATATTTGAGCCATAGGGCAGATTTTGGCTTAAATCAGATTTTTGTCTCTCTAATTAGGAATAATCCTCTCTTTAAGCAATAGCAACTTGACTTTTATTTACATCTTTTAGTCTATCATCTTCCGGTTCATTAATATTTTCATCATTTTTAATCCTCAAAGCCCCAAATGTTGAAGTTTAGGGAGCTGAATTATGGTCGTAGGTAGCATATTGATCAATTTATTCTCCCAATTAAACTTCCTTTATTGAACTGTAATCTTTGTAATAGTTTTGAGTGACTTATCTCTACTGTTGAGTTTGAATTTATTGCCATTATTGCTATTAATTAGGATAGTTTATAAACTATTATTGCATTTCCTCATGATAATTTTAGATACTTTAGTTTTAAGTCTATGTGATTCCACCTTTGTGCAATTGATAGGATTCACTTACACAGAGTGGATTAATTTTTGGACTAATATTCTTACTATGCTTATCAAAATCTAATTTTTTCTTGTACTTTTCTCCACTTTAATTGTTGAATTAATCTGGAGTTTATGAAAGTTAGAGTTGCAATTGATTCAATTTTAAATCAAAGCTCTAATCTTAGCAAGTTATATTTTAGAATGATGAAATATAGCTATTCTCATTATCTTCTTACCTCTCCTTGAGTTTATTAATCTAATCTCTGAATGCTTTATTCATATCTTTGATAGATACATTGAGCTGATTCATATTTTCGAAACTTTGTTAATTTGAATTGTTCCTTCTATTTACTTTATCTTAATAATCTTTGATTGGTAATGGGCAATCTAAATAAAGTTTTCCATTCTTCTAAAGACTGATTCCACTTTTATCTTAATTTTTTGCACTTGAACATCCAGCCTCAGTTTTTCTCCTATTAAAGAATTTGCTTTAATTTTATTTCTAATTTGAAGCTGAATTTGGGGTGAAGCTTAAGTAATCATTCAAAGTAGGTCTCTTATTTTTATCTCCTGTGTTCTAGTTTTATTTCTGAATCTTATTTTCTTTCGGCTTATTAAGTTTTCTTCCTTGGCTCTTTGGAGGTTATTAATGAGTCTAATAGTGAATGTTAGATACATTTGGATCTTAGAGAAGTCCTTTAAAGTCAGTTCTGTTTAGATTATTATTGCTTTTCTTTCTATGATTTAATATCAAAGACATCTCTACTGCTGGTTGCAAATTAAATGAAAGATTCGTTAAGGTATTTGATTTATGGATCATCATAGTATCATCAGATTATTCGAAAGTTTAATCTAATAAAACTTTAAAGGCATATCTTGTTTAGTTCTTTTTTAAGTCATCTATTTTCCTGAATAAGAGAAGTAAAGATGCTTTAAGAGTATTATGGTATTATTGTCTTTGATAGATTTATTAAATGCTGAATTTAAAGTTATTAAAATACTTCAGCTTAGTCTGATGTTCATTTATATCATTTAGCATCTCAAATGCTATGATCAATTTTTTATGGAATGCAACTCTTTCTTTCCATGCTTAAAAGCATTTGCTAAATCTTCTATTAAATGTTGCATTTTCTATAACTTAAACTAGTCCTATCAGAGTTTACTCAAGCTATATGGATTTTATAATATTGCTTTTGAAATTGATAAAAGCCTTTTTTTGCTGTCTAAAGAAAATTAACTCTATTAACTGTTTTTATCTCTATCTAACAATCAATGTCTCTTTTATTCTTTAGAAATACATCTTCTTCTATTTTTAAACTATTTTGCTAACTATCCTTGAAAGCATTCTGAAGTTCATCTCCAATATTCTTTTCTCATTTATCCAATTCTGAATCGATCTTAAAGACTTTTCTTGAATTTATTTAGATTTTCTTTAGACTATCATAAAAAGGGCACTTAAACTCTTTCTTTGTCTCTCTTGCTTTGCTTTCTTTATTTAATTAGAAAATTCAATCAGATTTTTAAGACTCTACTGCTGATTAATAGTTTAATGATTGATAATGATTTAATCAATTTTGACCAAGGCTGATGTCTTTATAGCAAATTCATTCTATTTTTTTTGAATGTAAACTTAAAGTTATCTTTCCTTGAAAAATTTCTTTATTCTCTTAAACCCAAAATGCTTTTGTTAGTTAATGTGATGTCTGAGAATGTTCGTAAAATACTTAGCGAAATTTTGAAGGAATTCTACCTTCTATTTTTTATTTTATGTATACTTTCTTACTTATCTAAGAGATTAGGAGGTTCTAAAGTGTTTAAGTTTATTTAGAATTAGGAATCCTCTTCTAAAATTCTCATAAACCTAAAAATACCTCGAATGCTGAATAAAACTTGACAGATTTTGAATATTAGAGTTCTAACCTATAAATAAGGATTTCATAGACTCTCCTTTAGTATAGTTTCCATAATCATTCATATTGGGTGAAGTTAACAAGGGATTTTATGTTACAATAAAATTATTATTTTGAGGATCTTACTATTAAGAGATCTCAGTTCTTAAATTTTTGAATTTTTCTTCTGTCAACATCATAATATGAGTTGTATTTCCATGATTACTTGGAGTTGACACTGATTTAATATTGCTAACCATGTTTTCATCAGTAAATGGTTGGACACCTGCTGTGATTGGACTTTAAGTCTAATTAAAGATAAAGCTTTGTGATTAGTCTCCTTAATTGTGCAATTATTGTTGATTGAGTTGGTTATTGACTCTTTAATGTTTAATTTATCCTCTATCTTGATTATCAAATTGTCTATTACGGTTATTATTGATAGTATTATTAAGATTTAAAGTGAAAGACGTAATCAATCTATTATTACTTGTAGTATCAGAAACTCTAATAATAGCTCCACTGTAATCTCCAGCATCATCAAAGTTTATTCTTCTTTTTATATTAGATTCTGATTACTTAGAGTCAGGAGTACAGCTGTTGCTGATAGTATATTCCACCTCGAAGTTCTCATCAGTTTATTGAGTGATGGGTCCCAGTGATTCTCTTTAAAAGAATCCGTCCTTGGGCATCATTTAGGAAAATCTTTTAAAGTGCTCATTTGGATTTTGTAATTGATAATTTCTTATATTTTAGCTCGACTAATCACCATAGATATAATAAATGCCCTAGCTTTCGTTAGGCTCAAACTATTTTTAGCTATGATCTTATTGCTGTTCACTAATTGAATTTAGCTCAGTCATATCCATGTTTTCCTGCTCTTCATTTTCTTCTTCATTATTAGTCTCCTCTCTTTCTTATTTAAACTGTTTATCAATGATTCTTGATTCTTCCTTTAAAGGACAAGCTTCGTATATTTGAGTAACACTAGTCTATACATTATCTATCTTAAAATTTTAGTTTTAGACTTGATTTTATAAGACAGCTTAAATGAAACTTCTTTTTTTGTTATTACCCTTATAGGATCCGCAAGAGTTACTCAATTTTTTCAAATTTTTCTTTTGATTTACAACCTAAGCTTACTCTTAAGGATTTTAATTGGCCTATATCTTAGATTCTCTATTTGTTCTTTGAAGTGAATTTTAAGTTAAATTGAACCCACTTGATAATTCACTAGTCATTGAATTTGAATTTCTTGACTTATTTGAAGTTAAATTAGAGTCTTAGTTATTTTGTGAGTTTTGATTAGCTATAAGCCTCTTATATTAGCTGTAATTATTCAAAATCCTCTTAGGTGTAGTAGTTCTCTTTGCTTGTATCCTTATATTATCAATAGTAATCTCCATTGATTACTCAATTTTATCATCTATTTTCCTTGTGGTTTTAATTATACTTGCTTCTCTTGAACTATTTTAAGATTAGGAAAGGTTCATAGATTCACAAGGTTAAAATTTAATTTAAAATTCAAGTCTTTATTCCTCTGGTTCTTCCTGTTGATCTCGATTTTGCTAATCCTCAAGATAAACCTATTAAAGTCTCTCTTAAAGATTAATAACTGGTATTTTATGAGAGGAATCCTCCGCTGGAGACATTGGAAAAGCTTCTATATTTGGATTAGCTGTACCAACATTTTCTTTAAATTAGTTGTCATTGCTATTATTTAAAAATGAGGGATATGAAAGCTCTATCTTTGAGTTTCTTTCCAAAGGATTCATTTAATCAGCGCATTGCTTTAAAGATGGGCTTGAGTTGTTGTGTAATGAGAATAATGATTTATCGTTGGATTGTTTTATTCCTTTGATTGATGAAGGTCTGTATGGAAAATTCTAACCTAGAGCTGGTTCAAAGTTATTCGACTAATCTAAAAAGAACTAGTTCTGATTAACTGCCATAAATAAATTATTGACTGCTCCTTTTGACTTTCTGCTCTAAATATTCTAGGGATTGTTCTCATTGTTTGTTGCCATCAGTTATTGCTAAACACTCGACTTATCCTATTAATAATTGAAAATATTCTAAAGATCCCTTTCGTTCATAAATTGACTTGGTGGAATTAATTCTTCATTTTGAGTTTCTTCTGTTACTCTAAATGATGGCTGATTATCATGCTTATTTGTGAATTCATTAACAGCTATTGATATTTCAGGAGTGATATCTGGATTTTAAAAAGAATCATCTGATACTGTCAACAATTAATTCTAAGTGTATTTATTCTTATCAGCTGATGGCTAATTTTCATCACCATAATCTTTTGATTGGTCGACCGAGCTTTCATTGCAAAGAGGATTGAAATGTGATTGCTTTATTGAATTAGGAATTAAATCTGCGATAACAATCTAATTATCAAGTTTCGAATCTCCATCAGGATCAATTATGGATTACTCTTATTTAATCGATCTAATTGAGAATTACTCATCTTGGAATAATAGGCCGATTGTTTATCTTGAAAGTGGAAAATTAAATAGTCTAGCCTCCTTTTGGAAATCACCTTTAATTGAGTACTCCTTAATTTAAAAATCTTATCTAAGTAGCATCTTATTTTCCTTATTAAAAGATAACTTATTAAGTCCAGCAGTACTCCATTCATATATCTTCTAATCCTGAGATATTCCAACAATTTTGCTTCCACTAATAGCCACATTCTCAATAGGCTAAATACTAATTTAAACTGACTCTAATGCGTCATCCACGAAGAACAAATCCCCTCCTTGTGTAAGGCAAATAATAAAAGAATCCCCACAGACTAAATCAGAGATAAAATTCTCACTTAAACTCATGATCTAAATCATCGCTAAAATTTATTAAGCATTTAAAATGTTACAATTGGTAGCTCTGTTTGAAGATTTTTAAAGGTTGTTTTCTTTGATAGACTTATCAATACTTTGAAGTTAGGACATTTTCAAGTTTGTGTTTTATTAGAATCCCATTTTATTCTAGCTTGTCTGCATTCTAGCAATTGATTAATGAAGGGTTCCAAAGAGATAAACATATCCAGCGCCTATTATAGACTTAAATTTATTCTTACTTACTTGAAATGAACACTGTATAAGTAGAGTGAGCTACAGCCTTTTTAATTGTTATCTGCTTTTGTTTTGTAACAATGGTTGGAACAGAAACTTATTGAAGTTAGTTCTCCAATCCAAGTTCTCCATTAGGTCCGTAACCCCAACAAAAAAGTCTTCCAGTGGAGTCAACAGCACATCCATGAGTGTCAGTCAAACTTACATTTTTTATCATATAATCAAAGAGTTGACTGTTTGGACAAGGCCTTAAAGCCTTATATTAGTTTCCCAGCCCTAATATTCCATATCTAGTCTCTGAATCATCTCCCCAAGCATATAGAGTTCCCTCATCTAAAACAAATTAATAAATTTTAATTTACTAGATAGGAAAAATGCAACTTGATCTGAGCATGTGATTTGATTTATCTTAACATTTTTGAAATCTAAAAGAGAGAATTATAAATCAGAAATGACTTGATAATAATATTCGACTATCTTGGAAATTAAACTTACAGGAAATATGTTGCGGGCTATATAAAAATAACTATCTTTTAGAATTAGAGTCAGATAGCTTCGGTTGATTCCCATCCTCTGAAGGAGTAGGTACACTAAACTCTCCCCAGATATATATTTAGCCTTGTCTAGTGAGTGCAATCATGAAATTCTCTTTTGAGCCTAAGATTAATTATTAAATTCCTTGCAATTTTGGATTAGTTCCACTTTAAATCTATTCTGGCTAAATCTCAAATAATTGATTTGCATATATCTAAATCTATGTTAAAAATATGGAGTACTCTTTCTGGGTCTAGAGAGCCAAAGTTTCGTTTTTATCTTTTGTTTGTTTAAAAAAAAGCTACTCCGATTGGTATTTAGGTAGACATAGTAGCACAAAAATTTGAATTTATATTATTGCTCATTAATTATATTGTTTAAATTTGAATTCATTCCTTGCGGGGTTTTGGGGTTTTGGGGTTTTGGGG